AAAAAAAAAAAAAAGAGCCAGGCTTGGTGGTTCACACCTATAATATAGCACTTTGGGAAGCTGAGGCAGGTGGATCAATTGAGCTCAGGAATTCAAGACCATCCCGAGCAAAAGCAAGACTCTATCTCTACTAAAAATAGAAAAACTTGTTGGGCATTGTGGTGGGTGCCTGTAGTCTCAGCTACATGGGAGGCTGAGGCAAAAGGATTGTTTGAGCTCAAGAGTTTGAGGTTGCTGTGAGCTATTATAATGCCACGGAGCTCAACCTGGGACGCTTGAGTAAAACTCTGTCTCAAGAAAAGAATATATTTGTGTCCTTCACTTCCCTAAGAGTGGGTAGAGTAGCAAAATGGAACAAATATCCTTGGAATTAGCTAGTAGTAATATTCTACACTAGTCAAATCTTTCCATCTTGCTTACTGGCACTCATGGTGTTCTCACATCTGGTAATGAAAGTGGTATTACAGAGGCTGGCATTGTATATACCGAATATCAATCTCTGTTTAATAAAACTTAAGAATTAAAATATAGGCTTGGCACCTGTAGCTCAAGTGGCCAGGGCACCAGAAATATACACTGGAGGTGGTGGGTTTGAGCCTAGCCTGGGCTTGTCAAATAGCAATGACAACTATAGCCAAAAAATAGCCGGGCATTGTGGTGGGCACCTATAGTTCCAGCTACTTTGGAGGCTGAGGCAGGAGAATTGCTTAAGCCCAAAAGTTTGAGGTTGCTGTGAGCTGTGACGACACAGCCCTCTACAGAGGGTGACATACTAAGACTGTCTCAAAAAAAAAAAAAAAAGGAATTAAAAATATATTTTATCAATTTCTACCCCATCACTCTGTGGAGAAGAAAGGAAACAGTGACAGTAAGTAATGAATCACAAGAATAAAAATCTCTGCTTTCCACTCTTACGGTTTATTTCTTTCCTCTCTCATTCCCATGAACTAACCCTTCTAAGTTTAAAATAAGCTCATCACTACTACCTTACACATGTATGGGAATTCAATACTGACTCTATATTTACTTCTCAGTGGTTTTTTAAATTAATTTCTAAGGAGTCTAAAGTCTCTTTACACTTAATTACAATGACATTTCTAGCATATCTGCCCCTAAATATGAGTTTCAACTTACCAAAAGAGCTACATGTAACAATCTCATAGGGATGGAGACAACACAAACATAACTAAAAGGCACAAAAGGAATTAAGGAACCCACATATGAGCTCAAAAAATTCCAGCTTAATAGAAAAATGAAAAGTAATGCTAGTAAGCCAAAGATTCTTTTTTAAATTGATATACACAAGTTTCCAAGTCTGAGGCATGCACTCTGAAACACCTCAATACCTACCAGACATCATGAAAACCTTCTATTAATTTCTGAGATATAAGAAAACAAAAATTCCAAAATAAAAAACACCTATACATTCTATAAGTGTTTTAAGGGGAGCTGGGAGTGGTACCACTGATCTTAATAGACTCTGATCAGTTAAACACAAATTCCCGGCAAGATACTAGAATCAAACGATCCAATATCACCTACAAGAAAAAAAGCCAATTTTATTAGGTCTAATTTAATCCTTTAAGAAAACAGAGAAAACTAATCAGGTAAAAGCAGAAAAATAAAATACCTGAGTCATATATTAAATTCAGTTCATAATGTGTTGTTACTTTTTTTTTATTTTTTTTTGAGACAGAGTCTCACTTTGTTACCCTCCATAAAGTGCTATGGCATCACAGTTCACAGCAACCTCAAACTCTTGGGCTTAAGCAATTCTCTCGCTTCAGCCTCTCAAGTAGCTGAGACTACAGATGCCCACAATGCCCATCTATTTTTTTGTCATAGTTGTCATTGTTGTTTGGCACGCCCAGGCTGGGCTGGAATCCACCAGCTCCAGTGTATGTGGCTGGTGCCCTAGCCACTGAGCTATAGGCAGGAAGCTAATGTGTTGTTACTTTAAAATACACACACTTTCTGATATGCTACTAAGGTATACACGAAGGAACCTAACATTTAAGGGCTAGGAAACATTTAGTGTATAAAGCATATACTTCTGATAACTGTCCTTTTTGAGACAGAGTCTTACTTTGTTGTCCTCGGTAGACTGCTGTGGCATCATCATAGCTCACAGTAACCTTGAACTCTTGAGCTCAAGTGATTCTCTTGCCTCAGCCTCCCAAGTAACTGGGATTACAGGTGCCCACCACAACACCTGGCTATTTTTAGAGACAAGGTCTCACTCTTGCTCAGGCTGGTCTCAAACCCATGAGCTCCGGCAATCCACTTACCTCAGTCTCCCAGAGGGCTAGGATTACAGACATGAGCCACCTCACCTGGCCTATCTTAATTTTTTTTTTTTTAAGCAGAAAAAACAGGCCAGGCATGATAGCTCACATCTATAATCCTAACACTTTAGGGAGCCAAGACAGAAGGACTGCTTAAGCTCAGGAATTCAAGATGAGCCTAAGTGTCATAGTGAGACCCTGTCTCTACAAAAAATATAAAAATTAGCCAGGCGTGGTGGCACACAGCTGTAGTCCCAGCTATTCTGGAGGCTGAGTCGGAAGGATCATTTGAACCTAGGAGTTTCAGTGGTGGTGGTGTCTGTGGCTCAAAGGAGTAGGGCACCAATCCCATATGCCAGAGGTGGCAGGTTCAAACCCAGCCCCGGCCAAAAACTGCCAAAAAAGAAAAATGGGAGTTTGGAGAGCTGGTTTTCCCACTTCTAGCTCTGTCATTAAGCAAGTATCTTCAACCACTCTGGGCCTCAATTTCTTCTCCATTAAAATTAGAATTTTTTGAAGACAAGCGCAGTGATCATGCCTGTAATCCTAGCACTTTGGGAGGCTGAGACGGGCAGACTGCTTGAGCTCAGTAGTTCGAGAACTCCTGAGCAAAGACCCCATCTTAAAAACAGCTGGGCATTGTGGTGGGAACCTCTAGTCCCAACTACTTGGGAGGCTGAGACCAGAGAATCACTTGAGCCCAGAAGTTTGAGGTTGCTGTGAGCTATGACACAAAAGCACTCTACTGGCTCAGCGCCTATAGCTCAACCGGCTAAGGCGCCAGCCACGTACACCTAAGGTGGCGGGTTCGAATCCCCAGCCCGGACC